TATTTTACTGCAATTGTATAATTCACAATTGTATAATTCTTTGGCCTTTTTCTCTGCAATATTTGAAGTAAAATGTTTGTAAATTATATAATTAAGAGTATAACACGAAGATATACATTTTTGCATGTGTATGTACAATTTTCTCTCGCTTTATACAAAACAGAAACAGAAATTATACACTTCTGTGTATAAAGCGAGAGAGGCGAGAATGGGAGAGTGGCGAGCAAGACTTCTGGGAGAGAGACGCCTGGCAAATTTTTGTCAATGTTTGCTATGGAGCACAATTAAATCAAACCCTAGCTATTCAATTTAATTTAGGTTATTAGTTTGCTAATTTATACAATTTTCCCAAAATTAAACGATTATCCGAAAATAAAAGGATTGGTGCTAAATTATTTGGAAAAGGCAAGGTACTTTTGTTTTATTGGGCCCATTAGCATGTTGTGTAATGGACTTGCTGAAAAGCAAAAGTCCATTTAAAACATATGCGGCAATTACATACATGCTTCTACTTATAATAATAATATAAATACAAAAAGACAAATAAGATAACAAAGGAAAATGATTGAATTCAGATCCTTCATTTGGACTTGAATGGGATTGCCCTGATCACAACTTGGTGGTATAGAGCCGCTAAAGCTGCGCCAATGAATGGTCCAACCCAGAATATCCACTGTACCAAAACCACAAATAATCACATTTAGCATCGACATTCACTATGTTAAATGAGTCATAAATAAATAAAGTAAAAAGAAGAAAGAAAGTTATAGTTACGTGGTCCTTCCATGCTTGTTCATTGTTATAGATGACTGCTGCGCCAAGACTCCTAGCTGGGTTAATACCAGTTCCAGTGACTGGAATTGTAGCCAAATGCACTAGGAACACCGCAAATCCAATAGGCAATGGTGCTAAGATCTGTGTATGCATGCACTTTAATTAATTTCAACAAACACACAATACTTGTTCTATTATGTTACCGAGCAGTACTTACAGGGACATGAGAATCACGAGCACTACGCTTGGCATCAGTAGCAGAGAAAACAGTGTAGACAAGAACAAATGTGCCGATAATTTCAGCGCCCAGGCCATCACCCTTTGTGTAACCAACATTTACAACATTGGCTCCTCCACCCTTAGTTTGGTAAAGTGTCTTTCCAAACGCTTTGACAAGAGCAGCACCGCAGATAGCTCCAAGGCACTGCATCACCATGTAGAATACTGCCCTTGTCAATGACAATTTCCTCGCTAAGAAAAGCCCAAATGTCACTGCCGGATTTATGTGTCCCCCTGCACAACAATAACATGTTATATATCATATATCGAATTTACATAGGGTAAATAAGTAACTTATGATACCTGAAATGCCGGCAGTGCAGTAGACTAAGGCAAAGATCATGCCACCAAAAGCCCAAGCAATGCCTTGAATTCCAACCGTTGAACATTTGGAATCGGATTTAGAAACGCCCATGACGGTTAAAACAGTGATATAAAGAAAGAGGAAAGTAGCCACAAATTCAGCAATTCCAGCACGATAAAAGGACCACGACATCAACTCCCCTGGTTCAAACAGGGGAGCTGGTGGTGGCTCTTTGTAGTCCTTGTCTTCACTCTGTGCTGCTATTCCAATTGCTTGCCTCTCTGAGTATTTATTAGCACCTAATCTCACATCCTCTTCTCTATGCTCCATTTCAAAAAATTTAATGTCTCTACAATTGATGGGAGTTAGTGAGTGAAAGGGGTTGGCTTTATATTCACAATTTTTGAGTAGGCTGGCTACCTGTGAGGGTTTTTAACTTTCATTATCATTGTGACCGACCACTGAATCATAATTCTTTTTCATGCGGATAGGTGTTGAGTGCTGTTATTTTGTAAAAATAAAATAATTGTATTGGCAGTGTTTATGTAGGGTTATTACTTTTAATTAGTAGTGCTACGTTTTTTGTATAGTTAGTGGCAAATGAGATACATACATACAAACGTTTATTTTGATAAAATAGTGGGACCAGTCGGCCACCGCCCAATTTGCTTATGTGGTGGAAATTACACTATTTGCAATTGGAAATTTCTGATTGCTCTTGCGGGTGCCGACAAACTTTACCACTCATTTATTTGTGGCTCCAAATCGTAAAAAAAAAAACTTTATTCGGAACTTGGTTTTCTTTTTATCTGTATATAAGAAAACAGAAACCAAAAAGTAAGTTTCTGTTTCAATGACAAACTAAAGAATGGAACAGAACGTGCAAAGTCCAAGTTCAGCATCTTGTTTCTATTATGATAAAGTAGTAGATTTGTGTTTTAATTGAAACAAACCAACGGCTTTTTATCTTTATTCAAAGCTTGTTTTTACTACATAGATATATTTATTAGCTATCACTCACCAATATTGTACTCTCTTAGTCCCAAATTTATCCGACATTTCTTTAATATTTTAAATTGTTATGATCTATAGTATTTTTATTTTCTTTATTTTTACATAGTTTTTCAATATATTAATTTCATTTTATATAAAATTGTATTCAAATTTACAATTAAATATAAATTATAATCACATAAATAGAGTATTATCTATACTGTCGTTAATAACTCTATAGGAATAGTAGTGGGAACTGTAATACTCCAGTACCTTTTTTTCTTTTTTCAGTGTCGGTAGATTTTGTGAAGAGTAAAGATCACGGTTTGTTTGTATTTAATTTTTGCAAATACCCAAATTCACTGCATTTAGTCAAAGATACAGAGACAAGAACGTTGTAGAATCACCTAGCATCATGGTTGTTGAGCCAATTTTGTCAACCATGTGCCTACCATATATACCGTTTCGTCCATAATCAGAGATACAAAATTCGACCACAAGTACGAAAAAAATTATGTTAAAAGCAATATTATTAAAAAAGTCATATAGTGTGTAATTTAAATTTAGTGATAACTTCTCCAAATATCACGTGAGAAATAAAAAAATATATTAATTAAGCGAATTAAATAAATATACAAGTTGTCTTTGAAAGTTGCAACGAGTTTCATAAATACAGTAAAATTAACTTTTTCACAGAAGATGCCTTTGGTCTTTGGTTTAGGTTGAAAAAATGTTGAGAAAGCGAAACAATTGAGAAAAGCAGCTAATTCTACACTTTTTTAGACCACAGAATATTGGTCGATTAATTTATAGTTAGGTCTATTTCTAAAATTTAGATATTAGAGTTGGGATGATGTGCTTTAATTGATTTCCGACCCCTACCTTATACATTATTTAACATCCAAACATTAAATTCTAGGCGTGTAAGTGGATTTTTGTTCCTACATAAGTGTGATAAAATGAGAAATTGATCTCTTTAATTTATATAATTTTGAACAATCTTATATTATAAGTTCAATTTTTGAAATCGGATGAGCTACGAAATCCTATCTTATAGAGAAATCTCAAAAAATATCAATTATAATAGACATAAATAAAGACACGGTTAAAGAGATAAAGAATCTTATAGGTATACATGATATTCCTATTCAACATTACTTCAGAAAAGCTAATAAAGTTGATGACAAATTAGCTTTCCTAAGTCATTCACTTACACATGAACATGTCTACTCTCACTTCAACACTATCCCTAGAATAATGAAAGTGATTCCTTTAGAATCATAAAGTGTAAAGCAAATACTTTGAGTTTTGATCCCCCTAGAAAAAAAAAGACTCTATGGTTATCGTTTTAATAATATTTCTTTTATAGTTATAGTTTTACTATTGAAGTTATGATCTATATTGTTGCGCTACGCTTATGGCAAGTATATAAAAATTTTGTGTTCATATATTTAGAAATTTTTAGAACTTCGATTATATATTTCTCTTGTCAATATATAAACATGATAATTTATTGTGAATTTTTTCATAAATCGTATATAAATAACATCATAAGAATATATAAATTCTGAATTTATATAATCAGAAATCAAATTATAATATATACGATCGGACCAATTATAAAACTTAGGTGAATTATACAAACTAAATGAATAGCAAGGTTTGAGGGAACTATGTCGGCAAATCACAATTTTTTCAATACAGTAGTTATAACATTTAATATCATTTAAATATTTGTGATTTTTTTAAAACAATAGCTATAACATTTGATATTTTTTAAATATTTATTATTTTGCACAATTTTCCTTTTTTCAATCACCTTTTACTATGTTATTAATCTTTGTTAACAGATAAATTTCTAACTAAATCAAATTATAGGGTGAGAAGACAACAATAATAAAATTATGAACTATTTTCTCATTTATATTCGAGTTTAAGTTCGTTCGTTTGCGAGCCAATAATTGATCTTTGCCAAATAAAATGAAATTTCTAAGCTGACCACTACAAAAAAAAATTTCAAATTACAGGGGTTAAAATGACATATTGCTGCAATCAGTAACTCCCGCAATTTGCTATTACGACAGTTGTAAGAACCCATGTTGTTAGGTCTACCACAATTAAGTCACAGGGGTTTTTCACCAACCCCTGGTACCAGTCACAAGGGGTTATTCGAGGGGTTTTTGAATCCCCGTAAATTGATATCAATAAACATGTGTTTTATATTCTGGGAATCAGAACCCCAACAATTTGTGAGTCTTGGAGTCGGAAACCCCCGCAATTTATGAATCACATTAGATTAACAGGCGAAACCCCTGCAATTCAAGGACATAGTAAACTTTTTACAGCATTTTGCTAGTTATATTCAATTTTAAATATTAATGACTAATTAACATGTACATCATAGTCCAAACCTATTAGTAAACATATTTCAAACACAAAAATATATAATTAAGCGTACTAGCTATTAGTTTTACAAACTATATTAAAATACGTGATTCACCCCAAACATTACGATTACAAGAAACTTAAAATCACTGCGAAAACTGTTAGAGTAATCTTGCTTTAATGGATGAAAAGTCTTTAATTAGTAGCACCCAAACTCAAGAAAGTACCTACAACAGTTCATGGAACATCACCTACCTGCAAAAAAAAATACACAGTAAAGGAGTATTGAAAGATATACCTTATACATAGTTATATAACATTGAAATTGCCTGCATTTTCGATTTCGAGGAGTTTCATCTTAGGGATAAGGTTACTTACATGTATTATACTGGCGATTGCAGTTGTATAATGAAAATTTCTCCGCATACAATTTTGAGTTTGGGGGGGTTAACATCAGGTAAGACGGGCCCTGCTCTGATACCATGTGAAATTAGGTCTTAGACCCAACTCACACCTTAAAAGCTAACTCAAAGGGAGGAGGATTGCGCAAGCCTTATAAGGGGTCCACTCATCTCATTAACCACCGATGTGGGTCATTCTTTAACAATCTAGAACTTCTTCGACATGCTCTGCAGGAACATGAAGACCAGTTTTTAAGGTTTGACGTATATCTTGTCCTCAAGAAGCTAGAGCTCCAAGTTTACTGAGGTTACCAAAGAAGATCTATATTATCCAGTAGTAGAAAGATCAGAATAAAGTTCACCAAATAAAGTTAGACTTAATTGTTAGAGCTCTAAATAGCTTGAAATTGATATGGATGTTAATGAGGCGGAGTGTATTTGTTAGGTAGTGGAGCCTGATTAATTTTAGGTTTTCCTATTTATTCTCTATTTTAGGTTTTCCATTTATTCTCTATTTTCGG